CCGTATTTATTTGGTATTTAAGGGAGACAATACACAAAATGACTTTGTGCATCTTCAACAGCTGTCTGGAGTGATGTGAACGTCCCTCTGTGCTCTGAGAGGAGCTTTGTGGCGGCTAAAAGCTTTATTAGAAGGATTAAAATCACACCTTTTTAGATTTGTTGCCAGCTCATTTCAGTATGCAGCGAAAATTAACTTAAAGAGATTTAAGATAAGCCTTTATTGATCCCCAGAGAGGAAATTCAGGCGTTGCAGCCGACAGCTGAAGGAAGGTGGGAAGTGACACGGACCTGCAAATGGAGCTGGAATGGATGGAGACAACTGTGACCACAACGTTTCTATAACCTGGCAACGCTCCTCGTACCTAAACCACTTGAATGTCAAGTGTCCAAAACGACGTGTACGGGCGTTTGCAGGTCCAAACCAAACCAAGCGGGTTCCCCGTCGAGGCCTGTGACTTCAGTACCCGACACGATGGACCTCTTGGTGTTTTCAGCAGCTGCGGAGTCACACACTTCATCACACAGCTGTGAGCGTCGAGCCCGCGACCGCCTCACTGCATCAACGGCCTCTGGAGGTGCGTTTGATGTCGCGCTGCTGCGGCCTGCACGGGCGTGTAACTTCTCCACGTGGAGCCGCTCGGAGTTCGCTTCATCAAAGTCCCCCGACGCGTCCTTTTTGAAGGTGCGTTTGATGTTCAGAGTCGCACGTTTGGAAACATGCACGCAGAAGCAGAAAGATGTGGGAGTAAATTAAATGTACGGAGGAAACGATGAGGTGTCGGTGCTTCACTCGCTGCGTGAAAGGAGAAAGTGGCAGACGGCTGCTGCTCTAATCTTGATTAATCCCAGTAATAATCCAGATGGCGTCAGAAGCAGAGCTTTTGGTGGGGTGTAGGTGGAGGTTTGGGGCGAGGAGTTAATCTCCCCTCCTCTGAGATGGAGGGAGACACTCCAGAGGACGGGTGGAGTTGGAGGATGAAAGAAAGCGCTGAGAAAACGAGTTTCCACTCAGGGTTTCACTTTAAAGAAAGATTTTAATTCAGAAAATGATCAAAGAGATGCAGGTCACATCGCAACAGCTTCCAGAGCTGCAGACGGAGCGCTCGCTGCTTGGAAAGTGAAATGAGTTGCAACACATTTAACACATCGTCTCGACAGGGAAGAACCAGCACAACGAAATGCAGCTCAGCATCTAACCTGATGGTAGCAAGATAAATAAATAGTTTCCTGAAACATTCACTTCGTCTTTTAGGGTTAAAAAGAGACGTTCAGGTGTCGGGCAAGTCGCAGTAAATCAGAGTGTTACTGGCCTTAGTTACAGTGTTTTAGATTGTTTTAGTAATCGAGTATTCAGTCTTTACCTTTGCCAGCCTTCTTACCAACTGCATCGTGATTTGTACGTTAAATGCTGAAGTTAGCTTGTTTTCTGCTCAGGTGCTGAAGCCGTGTTGCTGTTGTGGTCGGCTGGTTTTGTTTTACTCGCTGAACAGAGCGGCTGTTTTCTGTCAGCTTAAAATGATCTCAGAGTTGAGACTCTTTCTGTCTTTCTGACTCTTTCTGTCTCTTCTTCGAAACAAAACACTGACCCTCTGAATCCCTCATGATATAAAATACATGTTGCTTTGGACAAATTGTCAGGATGTTGCTGAGGAGGACAGTTCACACCTGAAGATGCTTCATTCCTGCGTCTGCATTCTTGTGCTGTGTGCACACGCAGCCTCGGCCCACACAGGTAATCCAGTCTCTCACACTCTTCCTCTCCTGAAGCCTGAAGCTGGACCTGACTGTGTTTCCACCCACCTCCCGCCTCCATGGCTGCAGGGGAGGCTTTGACAGACAGAGAGGAGGCAGAGGAGACTCCACCCACCGCAGCCTGTAAAACCTGGGCTGGAGTCCTGCTCCGAAGCTGCTGCTGTCCTGCTGACCTAAATAGAAAGAGAGGACGCTGAGGCACGAGACGGATAGTCTGATTAATCACAAACAATGAGCTTCATCGATTAAGTCTTTTTTTTTTTTGTTTGAATATCTGTCTGTGACGGTCAAGTGAATCTGGGGGTTTAGGACCATGTGATTTGCATGTTTTCATAACTTTTTACAGGCCGGTTTATCTTATAATGGAAATAGTTGCAGTGTTTTTATATTAATCTAATAAAAAAGAAATAATTTCCCCTTTAAAACTTCTCAGCTGTGTCTGACTTGTGGGCCAAAAATATGTTCAGAATCCACTTTATTGTCCAAATTTGCCGAAACAAACAAGGAATATTTCCACAAATGTGCAGAAAGCATAGACCTAAACAAACGTAGCTATGCAGAACACGGCTAAGTAAACGCTTTGTGCACACGTAGAAATAACTCGTCCTCACCAGAAAAACTGCAGATTCTGCAGCTGCTTATTCCAACGTATATTTACGTTTTTTTTGTCAGGCCGCGACCTCCAGTGGTGAAGTGGATGCATTAGTAATAATAATGTCAAAATATATAATACATTCATTTTCTGTTGCTCACAGGACGCCTGTTCGTCCATGTACAGTTTTTTGTACAAGCTCATTTAAACTACTTTATGTCTCTGGTTGTTTAGTCTGTAACAAAACATCATGTTTTATATGTTTTGAATCTTATTCTGCAGATTAACTCCAGATGTGAAAAGTAACAAAAAATGTCCAACATAGAAATTCTAATCACATTAAACTGTTGATCGCTATAAACATACCGAGGAGCCAGTCTGTCCAACTCCAGCCCGAGTCAGAGGCATTCATTTCAAGCTGAACACGTCTTCTTCATAACTTTTATCTGATGTCTGCAGTCACAGTTTGCCTCAGGTCATGATTTCACACTGACAGCTTGCTGCACTACTATTCAGGCACGTAGTGTGTTATGTAGGAATAACTGCTGGGTATTAGAGCCTTAGAAAAATAATGTCTTTAACAACTTTTAGACTATATGTTTAATAATTTAGAGCATTTTCTCACTATTGCAACTTATTCTCCCCTGTAGCACAGAGCCTCTGTTGGATTTAATAACACAATCTGTGAATGTGCATTTAAGTAAAGGACTTCAGGGTTAGTGTGGGGGTTCCTACACAGGGACACGTGATTGGGTGAATCGTGATTTGGGGATAATTCAGCGAAACGCACCCAGACGTGTTTTCTGGTGCATTTTTCTGTTACTGCATGCAGCGCGTTGTGAAATCCAGACCCGGGTTTAGTCTTTGCTGGGACTCCGCTCCGTGTTTTCCCACCATCCCCTGCAGCCGCTGCTGTGCTGCTCGGTGTGCAGAGCGGAGTGTGTTCAGAGAGCAGCGGAGGAGGGAATGGGACCGAGCCCAGCGTCGCTGCCAGGGAGGGTAAAGCTATCGGAGCAGAGGAGGGGAGGGCAGGCCCGGGTCCAGGGCTGTAAATCCAGGGACATTTGAATCACAATTGAATCCGGTCTGAGGTGAAAGAGGCTCGGCTGGCTGGCTGGCTGCGCTGCGCTGCGGGGGATGTGCGCACACAATGGGAGACGACGCGCTGGCTCCGTCCGGGACGCGGCGGCAGAATAAAATTCACCTCTCTGTTTGTTTGTAATGGAGACGCGGACACCGGAGCAGGATCCAGAGACGTCAGCGGGACACACGGCGGAGGACTCCCGGGGGTAAGGACTTGTGTGAAAGTGTTTCTTCATGCCGGGACGGAGCGCTGCTGCGAGCCCGGAGAGAGGAGCTTGGGACGCGCCTGCTGCCTGTTTGTCTCGTTTGCTGCCAGTTTAAATTCCGCTGGGATGAACACGGAATGTATTTCCTGCGTCAAAGTCCGCGCTGTTTGCACATCTGGATAAGGGGAGAGTCGGTTATTGCCCCGTAGCGTGTGTGTGTGTGTCCCCCCCCCCGGTGCGGTTGAACCCGTTTGTGGAGAAACGTTTCAAGTCAATTGACCACTTCCATGTTTTAGACCCTCAGACTGCAGAGCTCAGTGTGAGCAAAACAACAGAAACCCTCTTTTTAGTTTAATAAAGACATCATAAAGGAGACCACAGGATCATTTGAGTGATTTTTCTAATGCAATAAAGCCTCGTTAGAGTTTCTGCAGACTTTAGATCAGAGCTGAAGAGGAGCTCTTTCATCAGGGATGTACCTTCTGGACAGTAACTGCACTGAAAGGATGGAGAGGGGCACGCCTCAGAGGAAAACTGTCTACCGCATCTCGCTCACCTTGGTGAAGAGGGAGAGTTTAGATGGTGAGGATGAAGGCTCAGGCCCCCGGCGGGCGGAGAACCCCAAGGTGGGGACCATCCGGCGGGAGAGCTCGGTGGAGATCCAGCGTGGCGGCCTGCTGGAGCAGCTGAAGGAGGTGGAGGACGAGTCGGACGACTTGTCGTCGTCACGGGGCTACATGAGGAACTTCAGGACGTTCAGCACGGGGCAGCTGGAGCTGGGGAGGCTGAAAATCTCCAGGAAACAGCAGCTACAGAAAGAGCCGAAGCAGAAGGCCTCCAGCCCGGTGGCAGAGCACGCCGCGGAGGCCCCTGAGAACATGTCGGCACAGAGTCAGGAGCACACTCGGGGGGAGAGCAGAGAGCAGGAAGCGGAGGACTCAGACAGACTTAAAGAGGAAATCTGCTCTGAAACTCACAAACAAACAGACGCTGCCGTGGAGACGAGCGGCGTGAAGAAGAAGAAGAGGCTGGTGAAGGCTCAGAGCATGGAGGAGAGGAGCTCCGACCCTCCTCTGAACGGTGATGGGTCTCACTCCAAGAGCAACGGCAAAGCAGCCAAAGCTCCCTCCCCTGAGACGCCCCCTCTGAAGCGGCCGCCAGGCCTGCTGCGCCGCAGCTTCAGCTTCAGACACTGGAGCGGCGGCGAGCTGCTGCGTCTGCGAGCGCTCTCCAAAGACAAACACCACAGCAGCTCCGGCTGCATCGGGCGTGACGCCGGGCCGGGCGGCGGCGAGGAGGAAGCGGAGGCTCCTGTCGCACTCCCGGCTTCCCGCCTCGCCGACCCCACCAGAGTGAAGAGCAGGACCTGGAGGTCGGCGCCGTCCTGAACAAGACGGACTCCATGTCTGAGCTGAGCCGCTGGGAGAGAGCGCGGGGCAACAAGAACCGGACGCTGGACAACAGCGACCTGCAGCGGCTGGCGGCCGAGAGGGACGGGTCAGGAGGGGGGTTCCTGCTGAGGGGAGGGGGAGGTCGCTCCAGCGAGAGGCGTCTGGTTCGCTTCTTCAGCGGGATCTTCTCCAGGAGGGACGGGGCAGCCACCTCGACCCCGGTGGGAAGCCCCAGCAGCCTCCCGCGGAGCAAGAGGAGGGTTCTGTCCCAGTCCAGCACCGAGAGCATGAACGGAGGAAGCTCTGAAGGTAACGACAGCTCACTGTAGTCACCTGGCCGGCGTCATGTGACCGGCAGTGGAGAGGGTCTCATTGTTCCTGAGTCACTCACAGAGATCTTGATTTGATATTGATTGAGTGTTTGGTTTCTGGCAGCAGTCTGCTTGTGACCCCCGTCATCGAGTTTTTAACAAAAAGTGACGTTTCCATCTCAGGAAAAGTCAGACCCCCTCAGATTAATATTGGGACCCTTTATGGGGTCCCTAACCCCAGGTTGGGGCCCCACGATTGTAGCTGTCATGTTTCTAACTCTTTGGCTTTAGAGTCAACACTGAGGCAGAAACATAGTGTGATTTCTAAGTGCATACATTCACAAGGAGTCTGTTTGTAGAGGCTGAAGCAGCCGGGGAGGAGATGCGTGTGCGATGAGCTTCAGGTATTTGCTTTGGACAGCAGGCTGATGTTTGTTGTGGCCCTCCGCTGTTTGTCTTTCATTACCCTGAGCTCGCTTTTGTTCTCAGTTGAGTTTAAAATTGCAAAGTCAAAAGAGTTTTAAAAGCATAAATAAATAAAAGTGTGAGGCGAGATGAGGAGGGAAACACGGATAACAAAGACAAACAGGAGAGAAGTGATTTTTCTTTTCCAGCGAGGAGGGAAACGTGGTTAAAATAGCAGTGTGGGGGAGAAAATGAAGTGAGAGGGGAAGTAGGAGCTCAGAGCTGGAGGTCAAAACATCCCTTTTTCTCCTCTACATTAAAAATCTCTGTCAGTTTTTTATCTGAAGATACTTTTAAACCGATGCAAACAACTCGGTCAGCGTCTTCTTTCTGTCGAGTGGCGCTGTTGTGTGCAGACACAGACAGATGTGTTTCACCGTTTCTCCACCAGCCTCCAGATGTTGGAGCTTCCAGCTGCAGCAGCAGGAGTTTCACATGTTGACACCTCTGCAGCTCAGCCAGGACCGACTCCATCCACGCCGCTGCTGTCCCGTCTAATAGCCGAACATAAACACCGTGAACTCGCTGCCGGCTCCGCTGTGCAAACAGTTCCTGACCTGAAACACAAACCGCATATTTAGGACTTAACTGTCTGAAAGGTGAAACGCTCATGTTTCACTCAAAGTAGAAGCAGCAGTAAAACACCATGAAAATACTTGATGACAAGTATTGTTGCGTTCTAATACTTAAAAAGTATATTTCTCTCTGCGATGTCGTAGCATAGGATGGAAACACTCAAGTGAATTGAGTGTTTTTGTAAATGTACTTCGTTACTTTGCAGCTCCAGGAATAAGAATCTGCTTGTTTTGGGGTCAGAAATGAGAGTTTTCTTCCAGGGGAACTTGAAAACTTGTTGCCATCGGTGAAGTTTCATGTTCTGCACTTTGGGAGTACATTACAAGTAAAACTACCTGTAGCTTTCAGGTAGCAGAGTGTTTCCAGTAGGAAGCGGCTCCACCTGTCTGGTTTTCTTCTGTAGTCTGGTTTAGGGTTTCTGGTGAGCTTCCCCGTGGTGGGGGGGGGGGGGGGGGGGGTGATTCCCCAGGTCTCTGAGGTCAACTATCAGGTTTAGCGGTCTGTGTCTGGTGATACCGGCGGCCGACACAAGGTTGGAGTGGGGGGGTCGGGGGGAAGAGGGACACAAGCCTCCACATTTTTGGGATTCCTGAGAGGAGGTGGAAGTGGCTGCGGGTCAGAGCGGTGACCCTCGAGGAGCTGCCAGATAACGGCTCGCTGCAGGTGATGAGTTGTTTCTGGCTGGAGGCGGAGCTGGAAGAGGATTTATGTTGTCTGTGCTGATGTGAGAGAAGAAACATGTGGTTTAGAGATCTTGTAATTATTGTGTTGCAAACCAAACATCAGGACTGATTTATGGAGAAACTGGATTTAAACACTTTCTTTCATCAAGTTCTTTAATTTGTCACGTATTTAAATTGTCAGATTAAATCCGTACCGCCTGATCGGCTGGAGCCTCGTCCTCTCACCGCGCGTCGCTGGTGATGAATTGATGATGAGGAATCGTTAAGGCCGCAGCCATACTGTTGTTTCTCCTCCTTTGACTCCTCCGGGACTCCGTAGCAGACGGGTTGCTGTTGGAGGAAGACTTTCAGACCAGGCTGCGAAACCGCTGTCGTTGCACATCGAACACGCACACACACCAAGCCCCACCCGTCCACTCCCCTGACCTCACTTTGTCTTAATGGAGTCTACTGTTGTGTGTGTGTGTGTTATCTATAGGGAGTAAATGTAGGGGAATGTGTGTGTCAAAGGGTGTGGATGTGGGTGTGTATTCAGGGCGGGGGGGCTATATATGTGTGTGTGACCTATATCCACAGCCACGCTGAAGTAATGCACTCGACATGTGTATCAAAAGCCACACACACACACTCTGTTGCCAATTACTGCGTCGACTTTTGCATCCAGTTATCTCGTCTTTCTCTGAGAAAAAAAAAAAGACTCGCTCTCTTTTTTTTAAGTCTCCCCGACGCGCACGCACACACGCATGCGCACACGCACACTCACACACACACGCACACACGCATGCGCACACGCACGCACGCACACACACGCATGCGCACACGCACACTCACACACACACACGCACGCACACTCACACACACTCATGAAACGGTTTGACTTGCAGAAGCTCCTCCGGATGAAGCGAGCTGTTTCTTAGTTAGAGAGACTTTGATCCTCCTCCTCCTCCTCCTGCTCCTCCTCCTCCTCCTCCTCTGCTTTCACTTCATGCAGAAACTACACACACGCACACGCTCACATGCACACGCACACAGTGATTCTCCTCTACAATGGGTATAATAGGGAGAAAATCCTGTTAGGAGAAATGCTGCAGGGAGCGCAGAGATGGAGGGATGATGAAGAGGTGACCCCTCCCTCCTCCTCCTCCTCCTGCTCCTTTTTTTTTTTTACCTCTCTCTTCCCTCCCTCTATTCCTGCCTTATTTCCTTCTCTCTTACATCCTCCCTTTCTTTCCTTTTCTCCCTTTTCCTTCCCTCTCTCCTCCTCACCTGATTTTCTCTTCCTTCCATTTCTTTCACATCCCTCCTTTCCCTCTTTAGTTCCCACTTTCTTGCCTTCATTCCTTCTCTACTCATTCCTTTCCTCTTCACTTCCTTCCCTCCTCCCCTCCATTTCTCCCTCCTCTTGTTAATCTTTGTTTTAGTATTTCTCTCTAATCCCTCCATTACTCATTTCTTCCATCCTCACATCCTCTCCCCATCCTTCCTTGTCGTCTTTCTTTCTTACTCCCTTCCTTACATCCCTCCTTTTGTCCCTCCTCCCCTCCTCTTGTTTTTCCTTCCCTTCCCTAATGTCTTCTCCCTCGTCCACTTACCCATCATCCACCGTTTCCTCTTTCCCTCCTCTTCTTCCCTCCTTTTTCCTCATTTCTTCCCCCAGCAGTCTTTCTCGTGGCGTTGCTCTTTGTATACGTGCGTCTGTACATATTTATATCTACAGCGTATGTATCATCACATTACTTCCTGTTTTGCTTTGTTCGGGAGCTGTTTGTGCGTCTGACTCGTCCGACTCGTCTGTCTGCAGTCTGTTACTAAATCTGTCATTAGATCAAAACCCCAGGATCTCCTCCGTCCCGTCGTCTTCGCTCAGATTCAGAGTGGAAACGCTGACCCTGTTGCATTCCTGTGTTTGGGCTCTTTTTCGGTTTCACGCTGCTGAGTTGTACAAGGCCTCCGGGCCTCGTAAACAAAAGTCGCATGGCTCATAATTAGCAGATTTAGTGGACGGTGAGTGTTGGTTTTTCTGCTCAGATGGATTTCATGCTGCCCGTCTGGCGACAGAAACATTTAAACACAAAGTAGGAAAATGGAGCCTGGTGGTGCAAGTTTGTTCTCTTATTACTTCTTCTTTGTGTCGAACTCATTTATTATAATCTACTGTCTTGTTTTTAAAGATATTAGTTTGATGCTAGTGAACTCATTTGGTCTGTACTGAAGTGTTAGCATGGATCTCAGCTTACATCGTGTCCGCTAAACAACTTCCTCTTCTCCTCCGTCTTCTCCTTCTTGTTCTCCTCTTTCTCATTCTTCTTCTTCCCTGTTCTCCTTTTTGTTCTCCTATTTCTCCTTCTTGTTCTCCTCTTTCTCGTTCTTCTTCTTCCCTGTTCTCCTTCTTGTTCTCCTATTTCTCCTTCTTGTTCTCCTCTTTCTTGTTCTCGTTCTCCTTCTTCCCTGTTCTTCCTCTTGTTCTCCTATTTCTCCTTCTGTTCTCCTTCTTGTTCTCCTCTTTCTTGTTCTCGTTCTCCTTCTTCCCTGTTCTCCTTCTTGTTCTCCTCTTTCTTGTTCTTGTTCTCCTTCCCTGTTCTCCTTCTTGTTCTCCTCTTTCTTGTTCTTGTTCTCCTTCTTCCCTGTTCTTCCTCTTGTTCTCCTATTTCTCCTTCTTGTTCTCCTCTTTCTTGTTCTCGTTCTCCTTCTTCCCTATTCTTCTTCTTGTTCTCCTATTTCTCCTTCTTGTTCTCCTCTTTCTTGTTCTCGTTCTCCTTCTTCCCTGTTCTTCCTCTTGTTCTCCTATTTCTCCTTCTCGTTCTCCTTCTTGTTCTCCTCTTTCTTGTTCTCGTTCTCCTTCTTCCCTGTTCTCCTTCTTGTTCTCCTCTTTCTCCTTCTTGTTCTCCTTCCCTGTTCTCCTTCTTGTTCTCCTATTTCTCATTCTTGTTCTCCTCGTTCTCGTTCTCCTTCTTGTTCTCCTCTTTCTTGTTCTTGTTCTCCTTCTTCTCTGTTCTCCTATTTCTCGTTCTCCTTCGACTCGTTCTCATTCTTCTCCTCTTTCTCCTTCTTGTTCTCCTCTTTCTTGTTCTCGTTCTCCTTCCCTGTTCTCCTTCTTGTTCTCCTATTTCTCCTTCTTGTTCTCCTTCTTCCCTGTTCTTCTTCTTGTTCTCCTATTTCTCCTTCTCGTTCTCCTTCTTGTTCTCCTCTTTCTTGTTCTCGTTCTCCTTCTTCCCTGTTCTCCTTCTTGTTCTCCTAGTTCTCCTTCTTGTTCTCCTCTTCCCTGTTCTCCTTC